CCCGTCTGTAATTAACGGAATCAAGGCACCCGAACAAATAATGGGAAAAATTCAGAACATTTATCCACTCCATTTTAGCCAGTACAAATGCAGGTTTACTCAGAAGGTAGTAGAAGATATATTATCAGAAAATGACCAGGAAAGAATAATTATTGATACCCACAATAGAGCCCATAGGAACGACAGAGAGAACAAAACACAGATTTTGGAAAATTATTATTTTCCGGGGATGTCGGGAAAAATAAAGCGAATTATAAAACTGTGCACGACGTGTAAGAAAAACAAATACGAGAGACATCCCAATGAACCTTACCTTTGTGAGACGCCTATTCCAAATTACCCAGGTCATACTATTCATATTGATATATTCTCTACAGATAGGAAATTAGTTCTGACCTCCATTGACAAATTCTCAAAGTACGTTAAAGTGAAAATACTAGACGGAAGATCTACTGAGGCTATTAGAAGACCACTGAGGGAATTATTATTCTCTTACGGAGTTCCGAAGAATGTGGTAATGGACAACGAACCGTCTCTAAATTCCAGTTCGATATTATTCATGATGAAGGACGAATTAGGAATAAATATTTTTACGACCCCATCCTACAGGAGCGAGGCTAACGGACAGATAGAACGCTTTCATTCTACCCTCGCTGAGATAATGAGATGTTTGAAAGGTGATGGAACATCCAGGAATTTTGAGGAATTACTGGAGAGGGCTGTTAATGAATACAATCACTCGATTCACTCCACGGTGAATAGAAGACCTGTTGATTTGTATTTTGGACGCACAATTGACTTTTCTCCACAAGACATAGAGACTACCAGACGGAATATTGTTGACAAACTCAGACAGAAACAGGCCAACGACTTGACGTATCATAACAAAAAGAAACGACCAGTTAAGGATTATATTCCCGGACAATTAATTTATGTAAGCAACAACAAAAGGTTAGGAACGAAACTAAGCGACCGTTACAAAGAGGAAATAGTTAAGGAAAACCGGAATACCACCGTTTTGACCGAAAGCGGAAGGGCTATTCACAAAAGCCATATTAGAAATTAATAAAATCCTAAATTTTACAGATTGTTTCCTGGAAACGCCCTGGCTGACTTCAGCATCCTCGACTACTCGAACGCAAGACTCATTTCAATTCATAATGGAATAGCAAGGAAACAGAACGGGACATTTAAAGTAATTCATTCAATAGATCTTGAACAGTATGAAAACCTCACTCGTGAAACCGAACACATTCTAGACAAATTCGTGAACCTAGACCATCCTCTCCGTCCATTTATGAAGCAACAATTAATTGACATCAATGGACTATTAGACCGTCTGATGCCGCACAGAGAGAAAAGATCGATAGACTTCATAGGAAGTGCTTGGAAGTGGATTGCAGGCAGTCCAGATAGTCATGATTTTCAGATCCTAGAACAGAAAATTGGCAATATTTTGGAAAATAACAATAGACAGCTGATAATAAACCAATTAATTTCGGAAAGAATAACTGAAATAACTAATAAGACGAATGAAATAATAAAAAGGGAAGGGTGGAACGATGAAGTAGTATTCAAAATCGAAAGAAAACTTAATTTTATTGAAAAAGAGTTACAGAACGTAGAGTTTGCAATACAGTGGACTAAAGCTAATATCGTCAATTCATTTCTGCTTTCTAAAATCGAAATCGATCAAATAAACACTGTTTTTGAAAAATATAATATTCCTACTTATTCGATAGATGAACTATTAACTTTTGGATCCGTAAAAATTGTTACAAATAAACGAGAAATTTTGTACATCCTTAGTATCCCTGTAACTCAAGAAGAAGTTTGTAAAGTATATTTCATAAAACCTATAAAAACTGGAGATGTAATTGATAAAATTGAATACGAAAAAATTTTGGAATGTAATAAAGAATTATTTGGAATAAAAACAGAATGTAAAAGTAATTACGACATAACAATTTGTAATAGAGATAAGCTTATTTCATTAAGAAATGATAATTGTATAACTAATTTGTTCAAAAGTAGAGTAGGGAAATGCACCCAAATAAACAACGAACACATACCAACAATTGAAGAGATCGGATCGGACTTGCTCTTGCTGAACCAATATCAAGGCGCTATCAGTGTAGACAACGAGCAGATTTTTTTAAACGGGACTTATCTCATCAAACATTTCAACGTCACTATAAGAATCGATGGCCACAGTTACAGTTCAAGAGGAATAAGTGCCAATAAACCTCTTCCCGCCTTTTTGCAACCAAAAGGTCCAAAAGACAAATTAGAAGAAGTAATATCATTGGAGCTGCTTAAACAGTTGAACGTAAAGAACATCGAACGAATGCGATCTATGGAAACCAAAGGTACCTTAGCAGTCGGCATCGGTTGTGTTTCTGCAATAATCCTTACAACTATAACAATAATATCACTGAGAAGAAAATATGCAAAAAACTCCGAAAATAATAATCTGAAAATCGAAGATGCCCCAGGAGATGAAATAGAGATTGCGGAAGTAAATTTACCTACAACTTCGAAAGAAACTAAAACATCCAGCATTTACAATATTCATTCATCTTGAACAATCGGGACGATTGTATTTAAGAGGGGAGGAGTTAACACCAGACATATTCAAATTCAACATTAGCAACCCAAAGAATTCATCAACCAAAGTATAAGCGTGTCATTTTGCTGACACTGCAGTTCCCACCGAAACACTGACAACAACATCCAACAGGCAGACAGCAACATTCCATCGCCAACACGAGCAGGTGTCCAGTATCATCTGGGTGCATGAATCCAAAGTATAAGTTAGGGTAGTTTTATTTCATTATTCACTTTGTAGTCCGGAACCTTAACCAATAAAGACGTGATTGCTTGCAGTAAGCAGCAATCACAAATTTTTAAAAAAATAAATAAATTAACATTGAATTAATTTATAGTCACCGGACCGCTAACCTCAGTATTCCTCGTGACCAGCAGGTCTGTGGCCTTTTCGACCGCAAAGATTTCCGCCTGGAATACGCTACAGACGTTTCCAAGCTTGTAGGATTTACGAACATTAATGGAATCACAGAATACACCAGCTCCTGTTCCACAGTCCATCTTTGAACCATCGGTATAAACAGCTATGTCGCGGAAAGGTTGGTTGTTATGAACCCAGGCGCCTCTGTAAGGTATGTGTATGTCAGGTGAGTCAAAGCTCAACCGTGGTAAAATATAGTCACTTGTATTGGCTACCACTTCCACATTCCTTACACGTCTTAAAATCGCAGAATGTCCAAAGGGTTAACTTCGCCATTCGTTTAGTTCTCTGAGTCGATGAGCACTCCTGAATGCCTGTTCCTATACATGTCTGCTCGGTGGACTTAAGCACAGTAGGGTGTAGTTGATGACATATGTGTCAGGGTGAATAACTATCTCGAGGAGCTTGCCGCCTTCTTCCATGCGAGAAATATGAAAATATCCGCCACTAAATCGATGGCCACACTATTTACCACATGGACTGCGGAGATGAGAACACAGCTGAATGTGCAGGTCGAGGGGCACATAATTCCGACCACCAACTACCCCAAAATCCTTGGGGTCACATTCGATAGCATGCTCAAGTCTTCCGCGCAAGCCACAGTAGGAACAGGGTCCTCAAGGCGCTAGCCGGCAGCACTTGGGGTGCGGATAAGGAAACCTTGTTGATCTCTTATAAAGCGATAGGTCGGTCTGTAGTTAGCCAAGCGGCTCCAATACGAGTGCAACGCAGTGGAAAAGTATTCAGACCTGCCAGAATGCCGCCTGAGAACTGCAACAGGGTGCCTCCTTATGACTCCTCTGGACCATTTACATGAGGAGACGAAGGTTCTTCCCTTACGTCAGCATAATCATATGCTTTCGTTGCAGTACCTGCTTGGGTGTTATCGTGGGAGTCACCCTAACCCCCATATGGTGGATAGAACTCCCCCACCCAGGCGTGTCAGGAAGGACCTGCATGATCTAGAGAGAGAGGTCCAGCGATATAAGAGAGAGCCCCTAGATCATGAAGCATATCAAGCGGGTCTGAATATCATTCATACTGATGCAGTCGCAGAGGTAGTTAATAATAACAGTATGAATGCCATACTCGGAGTCCACCCCCCCCCATCCATTGCAGCTGAAGAACGTCGGCTGCCTAGGCAAACCAGGGTAGTTTTGGCCCAACAACGTTGAGGATGGTGCAGCCGTCTCAATTCGTATTGGGCACGAATTGACGAAGATGTGCGGAACGCCTGCCCAACGTGCGATACAGGCCCGCACAATATGCTGCACCTGTTTAATTGTCCAGCCAAACCTACCCAACTCCGTCCAGAGGATCTATGGCTACAGCCCATAAAGGTAGCGGAATTCCTAAACCTGGACATTGAGGAAGAACCGGATTAGTCAGGAAACAAACAACGACAACAGTAGGGTGTCCAGTGCGGCTTGATGTGTGCTCCTGAAGGCACCCGTTATTAGTAGGGATGCGGCTCTTTGAACTTTGTCAATGCGTCGTAAGTAGGTTGACTTCTTCAAGGAATGCCACCATACTAGAGCTCCATAGGATATAAAGATAAATTTAGGAGTAGATTTCTACAATCTTTTCAAATTTAATACACATGCTAGAAAAGCGCTAAATTAGGCACAGGAAATTTTTATTTTATTCTAAAAAAATTTATAAGACACATTTTTGCGATGATCACATTACTGATGTTTTACAATACTTCATTAAGCATGTCACCAACTATTGTGTAAGGCATATCGATTTTCGAAAGACAAATGTTGAGACCTTACATCGGAAAAAAATTTAAGTGTATTAACAAGAGACATTCAGGTTATGAAATTTAAATTATTTATGAAAATTCAATGATAAAGTGTTTGTCAACATATTGGTGCAACATTTTGGAAAATTTTAATCTGAGATTAAGTATTCATGATAATGTTTATATGATTGAAGCATTTAACAGCCAATTACAAAAGTGAATCATTACCTTAACTTTTTCCCATTTATCGTCGACATCTTGCAACCAACTAAGAAGTAATCGACCATTATATCTATAACGTGCATTTCTTTCTTTGTCCTCCTGCTCGTGAGATAAAATGTTGTACACCTCATCGTCTTTCATATATGAACAGGCTGAGAAGGGTAACAATTGGCATGCCATATTTCTAGCAGCTTTAGTATGTATACGTAGAATTTCTTGTTCTACATTTAAACAAAGTTTTTCTCTCTCCACGATATGTCGCTGATGTAATTCCAAACGATCCCTATGTTGAATCAAATATATATCTTTCATTTGGCTTGATATGTTGTTTGGGATATCTGGCGCTTCAAAAGTTTTAGTGGACTGAAGCACATAATTCTTGGTATTTAATAAATATTCAGTAAATCCCTGTGGTGCTCTTGGTTTGACAAGCAATACATTCTTCCATTTTTTTTCGATTTGTCTACGTATATTCATATACATTTGAAAACAATTAGTAAATGGTAAATCGTGCGGATGCGAATCTGAACATACAACAATATCGTTATTTCCTGTATTAGTCTTTACATCTTCTGTCTTCGCTCTTATTTTTCTCTTTCTTGGATGTAATTCGACATTATTCGTTAGAACTTCTTTTGATGACGAAGTAGATGAAGTTGAAGGACTTGGGAGATTTAAAATATTATCGTGTTCAAAGGAAATATTTTGATGTGTGGGACTTCCATTTGCATTGGGATATACTGTTTTGCTGTCTACTAAATCATTAGCGGTTGATGATGCAGGTGAAGGTGAATTACTCGGAATTTGTGGAGAGGAATTGTTGGAATTTCTGTCACTAGCAGATAAACCCACCCTGTGCGAACTTCTCAATACCCTCAAATTTTTTTCTTCATTTAACTTGGTATTGGAGTTTTTCTCATCACTAGTGCCACATGAATGGTTAAGTTTTATTGGACTGTCTCGGGGGCTTGTGTTTGTTGTTGAAGGGTCTCGATCATTTGAATCAGTGTTAGATGCCACAACATATGGCAATGCTGGATTTCGAGTCGCATTCAATTTGCCAGCACGAGATCCAGTGCAATCGGAATCTATTGCGCAATTTTGTTGGGGAATAACAATTTTCAACGGTGGAACTTTTAAACAACCACTGCAAAGGGGATCGCTTTTTGAATCATCGTCGTCCACTTCAGATTCTAACGATTTACCTTTAATTAAATCATCTTTATCGCTTGTATTGATACTTTTATTTAGAGCCGAATTAGACTTTGTATTATTTTGTTTGACCGATTTTTCCACTCTATTTGCAACACGCTGGTTATTAGGCTGTTTTATATCTTTCATAACCTCCAACTCTTTGCGTTTCTTCTTTCTCACGTCGTCTGCATCATCACATTCCTCTTCGTCTATATCAGAAAAGTTTCGCTTCAGTATATTAGATGAAGTCTCTGCCGAATTAACTATGTCAAAGCTTCCATCCTTTTTATTTTCGGAATGTAATTCTTCTGGTTTATCTTTACCATCGGTCTTTTCAGAAAAGTGAGATTCGTCGAAATCATCGTCTTTTTTATGTTCTTTACTTTTTTGAGTCGATCGTATGTTATCTGAAAAATATTAAAAGTTTGTTTTGTTAATTAGGCTTATTTCTTCTATCGGAATGAGTTTCCTTTATGTTTTAAAATATGCTGCAAAAATTAGGGAGGCAGTTTAAAAATTTGCAAACCGACTATAAAATAACTTTTTCGCTTTGTTAGAGAGATAGATCAACAATAGAAATCAGAATACTTATTACATTTAATGTTTTTCCTTTTTTCACCTTTTTACATGGTAGAATTATTTTTTCTTTTCTACCATGCCTTTTTATATTTTAATAAAACAAGTGTTGTTCGAGCATGAGGTCTTTGTTGTTGTATTTTTTTATTTTTCAATATTTCGAAATTCGATTAATTTCATTTAAAAAAAAATTTTCTACAATAAAAATAAACAAAGTTCGACTTATATAACACTTGTAATATAGTAGTGTTTTAGTACTTATGTAATAAGGGGGAGATTCTTGTACACAAAACGGTAATATAATGTCGCAACAGCATATATTTTGCTAAATTTCAAATGTACGGAGATATGGAGATATATAAAGTTGGATGGTATATATCTTCAGAAGTGCATATTGGAGGAATTCTGAATATATCAAAATGCTGTGTTATATTTACAAACGCCAAATCAAGAATTTTGCTGTGGGAATTTTTCACACTATTTATTTGATAAAGATGTAAGTCACACCAACTATTTATAACATCAAATGTATACTGGGTACTGTTCATTTCGGATGGCAAAGGAATCAAAGCTTCAGAATCTGGCATTGGAAGCCACCTAATGGAAGGCATATTAAAATCACCAAGGATCAGAATGCGATCGGAATCTTTCATTTTTTCAGTGATTATAAATGTTAAGTGAAGATTAAGGGGGAATATAAGAGCAAGTTACAAACAATTTAGATTTGCCAAATTCAATGGAAACACCAACAAATTATATATCAAGAAAATCATTAAGATCAATTAAATTAGTGGTATATTTGGTATTAACTGCAATAAGGACGCCACTACCTTTTTTACAAACACGATCTTTTCTAAATATTTCATATTTTCAACATAAAATTTCACTATTTAATATAGATATTTTTAACCAAGTTTCGGAGAAAACCAATACATTATAATTGAAATCAATACTATCAGTATATAAACTGGTTAATTTTGTATTAAGCCCCCTTACATTCTGATAGCAAATAGAAAATGAGTAATTTAATTTTTTGGCATTGAATCTGGTCTAAGAGGCAAATGAGCTAAATTATTGGATCTCTCCACAAATTCTTTAATAAAAGCCCTAGCAGGCCAAAATTCTTTTAAAATCAACTGTACAAAAATATTTTCAGGCACAACGATTTTGAAAGAAGATCTACTTTCAGAAAATGCAGATCGGAGCTTATAATATCTAAAAAAGTAATCTCTCTCAATTTTTGATTTTATATAAAAGCTTATATCATCCACCGTTGTTTCTGGTGCAAACCTTGATGCAAATATCATTTTCATGGCGGGAGCCATAGATAATGATCTTTGGACAGGTTGAGTTTTGCCAGTAGCAGTCTCGGGACGATCAGTAGTGATAAGTGAAGGAAGTGATAATTCCTTTATGTCACGAGTAGATTGTGAGGTTTTCTTAAAAGCCTCACTATCAATACTCATAACATCTGGATTATTTACCCCTTTACCCATACCGCTGTTATGTACTGGAACTGGGTGTGTAACAACACTGGCATACGACTGTTCACGTCCAGTCTCAGTTGGTTCAGTGATATTAACTGAAACCGGTTGTGGAACAGTGTTCTCCACAGAAACTATTGCTTTGCGACTAGGCATTCCCTTAGTTGGTGCCTTTTTCGCAGCCCTTTTGCGTTTCTGGCCAGAAACCGACGGTGACGACACAAACTCATCTAATTCTTGGTATTTCTCAAACAATGTAGAGAAATTCTCAAATCGGAGTGGTAGTGAGAAAAAATCTTTTTTCATCGATGTCAATTCCGACTGCAAATCCTTTACAAAATTATAAAAGTCTGCAGAGAGTATCCTACATTGCAACACCAACGAACACCAACATTATTTCTCAATCCCACGGCGGCCGGTTCTATGTACCGGATTGACTCGGAGGCATATTTCTCCGACCAGGGGCCGCCAACCCAGCAAATACATGTTCGTGTTCGTCCATTTTTCCGATGTGGGAGCAACATCACCGGGAATGTTTGCTCCGTATTCTCTTGGTCCGAGCCGGGATCGAGACCCACCCCGGACCAGATCGGTTTCGGTGAGATGCAACGGATGCATAGAGTGGGTGCATTTCTGAAATTGTTCCGGCCTAAACCGAATACAGGAGTATAGCGATAGGGACTACATTGCTTCCTGCTGCGTCAATGTAGACCCCAGTGAGTCTTCATCTTCGGCGTCCTCATCGTCGTCGCAATATGAGACTCCCCCGCAATCTCCTCAACAGCAATCTACGCAGCAGTTGACGCCACACATTGCTGTTCAGGTTCCGGATAATTCATCATTTCTCCAATTTAATTGTGATGGTCTCAGAGGTAAGATCAACGAAATTGTAAGCTTTATGAGTCGGAAGAACATCAAGGTCGCAGCGATCCAGGAAACGAAGCTGAGTACCACCTGCAGGCTTCAAAGTTGTGATGGATACAACGTACTGAGGAAGGATCGCTCCAGAGGTGGAGGTGGAGGATTAGCGTTCCTATTGCACCACTCTGTCCAGTACAGACCTATCTCGCCTGAGCTTGACTCTAGTGACCCGTACATGGAATGTATGGGGGTAGCGGTCAAGTGTGGAACCGCCGAGGTAGAGGTGCTCAACGTGTACATTCCGCCGTTTAATAGCTGTGCCCCACGTTATATGCCTAATATCAGTTCACTACTGGTAGGCAATAACCGTCTGGTGCTAGGGGATTTCAATGTCCATCATGAATTATGGCATTCCGTCCTAGGTAATGGCGCTGGCTGCGCAAATTGATAGCATGGCGCTGGCTGCGCAAATTGAAAGCTCCACGTTTTGCACAGTGAATGAGGACGCGCCCACCAGAATAAGGGGAGACGATATCCATCGTGTCCCCAGGTCTGACGAATGACGTAACTTGGCAATCAGTCATTTCTCTAGGCTCAGACCACCTCCCCATTATTATCGCCATCAACAGATCACCCGACTTCATTGACTCTGAACGCCGCACTTTCCTTAACCATGGGAAAGGTAATTGGCAAGAATTCAGAGAGTATACCAATCGCCGCTTCAGAGAACTGCCCAATCCATCTGATGTTAAGGTAGCGGATAGGTGTTTCCGTGACATCATCAAAGCTGCAGCCGCTCGCTATATACCTGCTGGTCGATTACCTGAAACAAGACCAAATTTCCCAGCAGAGACAGCGCGACGAGCGAGATGAGCTTCGCCGTACTAACCCTAATAACCCCAGAGTCAGGGAACTTACTCTGGAGGTAAACAGGTTAGTAGGTGAGCATAAGCGGAAAAAGTGGTTAGTACATCTGAAGCATTGCAACATCGGTACCGGAACGAGTAAATTGTGGGCAACGGTTAAGTCGCTCTCGAACCCTGGGAAAAAGGACGATCGGACATCTGTCTCATTCAACGGCGTAGAAGTGACAGGTCCGAAGAGGTGCGCGTGTTATTTTAACCGGCAGTTTGTAGAGCACCCCGAGAGTGACAGGGCGAAGAGAAGGATCCTACGCCGTGTACGATCCCTTCCAGCCGAGGAGGTACCACCACAATTTACGTTGGCAGATGTTGCACAGGTCATCAGAAGCGCAAAGACATCCAAAGCGCTTGGTCCTGACGGAATCTCAATGGTGATGTTGAAGCAACTGGATGAACCAGGAGTTAAGTATCTTACAAAGCTTCTCAATCTGTCGTTAGCCACCCTAGTAGTTCCCGATGCCTGGAAAATTGGCAGGGTGGTCCCGCTACTGAAGCCAGGCAAGGATGCCAGCAAAAGTAATTCATACAGGCCGATATCACTTTTGTCACCAGTAGCAAAGACGCTTGAGGCTTTACTCCTCCCCAGCATAAGAGAGTGTTTCCCAGTTGCCGATCATCAACACGGATTCCGGAAATTTCATAGCACAACAACAGCTTTACACGCCATTTCCACACATGTCAGTAGAGGTCTCAGCCAGAACAGGCCGTGCGATAGAACAGTTATGGTGGCACTTGATTTATCAAAAGCCTTTGATACAGTCAATCATGCCACACTGTTCGAGGACATTGAGCGCACCACCCACCGGCCAAGTTTGAAACGTTGGATAGTAAACTACATGTGTGGACGCCAGTCGTACGTGGAATTCAGAAACAAGAAGTCGAGCATCCGTAGAGTTAAACAGGGAGTTCCCCAAGGTGGGGTGATATCTCCGGAACTGTTTAACCTCTACCTTTCTGACATTCCACGCCCTCCAGACGGCATAGAGATTATAACGTACGCAGATGATTGTACGCTCGTGGCGTCCGGACCCATTATTGATGACATTTGCGATCGGTTAAACGCTTACCTTGTTGATCTTACCGCCTTTTTCACTGCGAGGAATATGAAGATATCCGCCATTAAGTCGACGGCCACACTTTTCACCACATGGACTGCGGAGATGGGGCTATCCTTGAATGTGCAGGTCGATGGTGCAATTATTCCGACCACCAACTACCCCAAGGTATTAGGGGTCGCATTCGATAGCCTTTTTAAGTCGTCCGCGCATACCACAGCTATCTGCGACAAGATTAGAAGTAGGAACAAGGTTCTCAAGTCACTGGCCGGCAGTACTTGGGGAGCTGATAAGGAAACCTTGTTGACCTCTTACAACGCGATAGGCCGGTCTGTGGTAAACTATGCGGCTCCGGTGTGGTCCGCCAAAGTCAGTGCTACGCAGTGGAAAAATGTACAGTCCTGCCAGAATGCCGCCCTTAGAACCGCAACAGGGAGCCTTCTCATGACACTTGTCGATCACCTACATGAGGAGGTGAAGGTCTTACCGGTGCGACAGCATAACAAAA